TTGTATATGAACTTATCTTTATATTTAAATAATTTTAATCGGGGTTTACACAGTTCTTTAAAGTGAAAGCAATTTTAAATAATTGTAAAAGTTGATATGAAGAATATAACAAATTATAATATCCACAAAAAGTGTAATATGAATTATTATTATTGTTATAATATAAATGATATATATATATAAAGATTTATTTTCTTTTATTGTGAATTATGAACGAATAAACCTTCATCAACTTCTGTGTAAATATTACGGAGTTTGAGTTTTCATGGATAATTCATGGGAAAATATTAATAGGGAAAAATAATGATTCCAAATTTATTGTAAGGATATTATGCATATATGCTTAACCCTCGTAATGAAGAGGTATGTCATCATCCAATTCAACATAATGAACATGCTGAATTATACATTTATACTCACACTGCATGATTTGTTACATATTGAAAAAATATGATGCATGAGTAGTCATTAAAAATATGAGTACGTTTTATCTTTGTTCCAAGTTTGTAGTGTAGTTACATTTTGACCATAATTAAGTGGTTAAATGTTAATTTTCTTTTTTAGTAAGTTCATTAAATTTCTTAATTTATGAGCAATTTTTAATAACATAAAATTATATTCAGAGATCTATTCATGTCAAAACATATAAGCACATCTATCATTTCGTGACGAAAAAGCATGCCAACAGTAACATATCGAACAATTATAGACTGTTCTCCAGCAGTTTGTTAGAAACAATAATTGAGTAGGCAACTCTTCGCTCAGTTTATTAAGAAATTGTCATTCACTTACTATTAATAATTTGTTGGGTTGGGTATAATTTGTAAATAACGATGCGTGTCTTTGTGGAACTCTAATCTTTTTTTTTTTGGAGGAGGGAACATTTTTTATTAAAATTCCTTTTCTTTGTGATTTTGATATAAACATTTTTTCAGGTTTGACAACATTATTAGCTTTCTACTGATTTGGGAACTTAATGCAAGAACGGTAGGTTAAATATATTTTTCCATATAATTATTACTTATGTTTAATAAATTATATCTATCTGTTATAACGATGGACTTTATGAACTCTATTGTCTGTTAAACTTTCGTTCAGTACTAAATATTTAAAAATTGTGTTTTGCTACATTTGGGTTGATACCAGTTTCCTGGAGCTACAGACTTACACGTCAGAAAATAATCTGATAATAATAAAGCGTATTCAAAACGAGAAATATAGTTAAAAAGTTAAAACCATAATGGTTTTATTGTACAAATGAAAGAAATATAACAAATTTTGACTACCAGCAGAACAAGGTAGGACTGGGCTTCTGTTGTGTTGTTTGTTTTCGTTATTAGAAATGGAAGATAACTACTCTTTTTTTTTTGGTGGAGTGAAAGTTGAAACTACTTCACCATATCATTTGCAACTGGGCGCAGAACTTGTGAAAATCATGCTTAGATATTTTTTTGTTTATTTAGCGTAAAACAACACATTGGGCTAAGTGTGCTTTGTCCACCGCAGGGAATCGAATCCCGGATTTTATCGTTGTAAGTCTTAAATCATATCACTGACCTACCGAGTGGACAGAAAATCCTTTAAACTCGTTAAAAAATTTCGAGTACACCTCCCCCCTACCCCGATACTTCAACGGTAAGCTTGTTGAAGGCTCTTAATATTAATATTTGGAATTCCATCCTAGCGGTGAGCAGAGCATAAATAGGCCACTGTACTTCTTTGTTCTTAAAAATAAACAATATTAATCAAGTTATAAACAATTGAAAAAGAAAACTCTTTTAATGCATTAATCAAGGACTAATAGGAAAATTCTCAAAACAAAGTTTGTTTAATTAAAAAAAGAACAACATTTATACCGTTTACTACATTTGATTTTAACTGATACTACTACAAATTATCCTCGTTTATTTTCTTGAAGAGCTACAGCTAAATGGTAACTCATGCTGATTATCTTTAGCAGTCCCATCAAAGAAAACTGATTTATTTCGTTCTATGTGGTTAATGTATTTAGAATCAATTATGGAGACGATAGTAAAACAAGAAAAACCACATTCACCTTTTCACCATTATAACTAACTTCTATAGATACCAAGCTGTGAAGTCATACTGATCAACTCAAACCAAATGCTCCTGTCTTCAAAAATCAATTGAGCATGGCAGATTGAAACCAGCCTAAATCTTAAAGTTAAATCATAAAGATATGGTATAAATTCAGTGCGTTGAAACTCATGCTTGATGTTCAAAAATTACAACAGTTGAATTTACCGAATTGTTTCTGGGCTACAGCTGTTTTTAAGTCATAATGCCAAAAATTTTAAACTTTAATTAGAAGTAGATTTTTGAAAAACCTTACCCCAAAGTAGAAAATAATGTATCAACATTAATCTATTTGCTACAAAGTTGTATATACTGATGTTGACAGCTAGATGTTAATTATGTGATAAAGTAAAGCAAAGTTTAATTACTATACGGCGACCAATAACTTGAACTTCAAGTTCGTGCTATCTAACTTAAGTACTCTCAAGACTAACGTAAAAGTGACACACCAGTACTAGCAATTTCTAGCAATAATCTTTTAAATGTTAGATACATTTTTATTTTTTCGAGAGTTGAACACGTGATTCAGATGTAATATTTGGTCAGGCGATTCATCAACAGTATTCGTGGGATACAATCGCTATAGAGTAAATGTCTCATTTCCGTATTTTACACTGTCATGTATGAATAACCATCTAACGTTTATTTTACAAGATGTGGCTTATCACAAAAGATACTTCAAAAACTCGGATATTAAAAGGGTTTTACAACATTTATACGATTTATTGTATTTGATTTTAACTGATATTATTGTAAATAATCTTCATTTCTTTTCTTTACTTTGACGCAGTTAAATGGTAACTCATGCTGATTATCTTTTTTTTTTACTTCATTAATTTATACAGTTTACTGTAACAATAAACGTATAACCGTAACAGACACAAGAAGAAACGTTAAAAATAGAAGACGGTATCTATCGACCACGCTGATTTAATTTTTTGAAAATTTCCTTATGAAACTATTGCTTTTGTAAAATAAAACAATGGTTCATTTATAAATTAATGCATTTTACTGTTGTTTCTTAAAAATAATATTCATGAAGGAAATTACTAATACTACATTTCCTTTAAACAGGTAAAATAAAAAACATTTTCGACAGAAACGTCCTAAAATTTGAGTAAGCGATTTGCATGATACCTTTTTGTGCTAACAAAGAGAAATGATTTTGTATGATATTTTTTAGGATCTCTACTCACCTGTATTACTTGATTTGAGGCAAACTTACAGTATTGGATTACCTCCATGGGACCCTGTATTGTCAGAAAAAAACAGTTCCTTCTTGTCATGGATTTTTTTTTCACGTGAAAACAGGTATTGTCCAAATTGAACTTTATCTTTAAAAGGTATTAAACTTGCGTGATGAAAATATGTAAGCCTGTCTGATGAAGATGTCATAGACAACCAGCTATGTTAGAACACAAATATTAATCAAAGATGTTCTTCCCATTTCTATGTCATTTAGATTATTTTTTTCGTTTTAGAAAATTACAAATCTGTGAACGTTGGAATTTACAAAATTTGATTATATGCCATTTTAATATTACAAGAGAACTAGTCCTTGCCATGTAGAGAAGGTGATAACTTTATCATACAAGAACAAGGCCAAAAAAAGTATTATACCAGTAAGTAGGCTAATTATATTGAGAGAATTCTTAAGCACTTCTGCGAAGAAAAGATTAAACGTTTTACCTTTTAAACTAATATTTAAAAATTAAATAGTAGAATTGAATATGTAATATCAAAACGATTTAGGACCCTCAAAGTGTCATTACGGTCAATCTCTTTACGTCTAGTGACGCTCTTTCTGACGACCGTGTATTTTACAATAGTCCTGCAGAGCAGTTTCTCTTACATAAGGCTTCTTGTAAGGTGTTCAAAGTTCACTCCTCCTACCTGAAGATTCCGATAATCTATCTAGTCTACAAGAACGAAAGTTTCCCAGCGCCCGTTTCAACAGTCCGATCGAACAGAAATGCATAGGCGCTGCTGTATGTCTTATATTGAATAACACGAATACCTGTTTCATTCTCCAGCTACTTGAGATATGAAAGGGTTGAACAGGTATATTGTGGAACTAGCCTGTGTACACGTGACTTGTGTCGCTTATCCGTAAGAGACGAGACGTACTGCTGCCTCGAGCACGTGAACGGCTTTTTCACCGATCTTTGTGTTCGTGTATTCTCACCTATTACAAAACGACGCACATTGTTGCCCACAGCTGGGATACAGATTGTTCCAAGTCTCTTTTCTTGATGGTCGAGGTGTCCAAAGATGATCCGTATTCCTTTGTTTTACAATGCTATCAAGTACAATGGTTATCTCCGTTTTAGAAATTCCAAAATTCTGAATACATATTTATGATCTGAGTGCATGAATAACTTGTGTTGCTAAGGGCCATTTTATACCCTTCGAAAAAGCAAAAAAAATCCATCGCATCATACTACTACGTACTCCAAACAGGGTCAAAATGTAGATTATATACACTTTTTTGAACCTCAACTTTTATCGGTTGCAGTTGTCATGTGACTTTCTGATTTGGATATTTAAAATCGTTATAACACAACATACTTAGCCATGTAAATCTAATCCAGGTAGTTCCTAGTACTATGAGCATCATTTCTTAGTGACATTTAGTTTTCCGAAATTAAGTTTTATCACTGAATGCTTTAATAAAGAAATTTGTTATTAAACGACTTTCTTTGACTGACTCTCAAAAAAAATTATTTTCAAATTTTATCAACAATGACAATTGAAAAGTAATGTCTCCACTAAGAGAATTCACAATCTCCAACCTCGGTGACTAGACTAAAAATACAGTTAAATAGATTTATAAAATGGATCACACGTCAGCTTGTTTCCCAATTAACAAATTCTAATCTTACTATGCGAAGAACATTACTAACAATTCATGTGGTAGTCGACAACCAGTCCGAAAACCACTTATCTCAGATGCAAGCAGGAAAGCACGACGTTAGTGGTGCTTAGAGACGAAACTGTGACAATGAATGACTGGTAGAGTATGAAGTGATTTGATGAGTCAAGTCTTTCTCTTTTCTATGCTGACGAAAGAGTAAAAATAGAAAAAAATAATATTAGGTACTTGATCTTTCTTGTGTTGTAGGAGAACGGTCACATAGCAGAGGTTAGATTTTTGATTCTTTTAAATAGACCAAGAACTACTTGAATGTACTTTGAACCTTATCGTCGATCATGTGAACCTCCTAACGCTTTATTTCCACTTTACTTCTACAAGATGATAAAGAATAATCAAATGTAGATTATCAGCAAAACGATATATATAGTTTTGAAGCTCAAAATTCCAATTGAGCATGATATTTGTTAGTACGTTAGAAGCAGTTTTTATAAGCAATTAAAAATGTTATATTTTGTAGCTCGTTTCATATAACACTTAGGCTAGCTGTTTTATCAAATTGAGTATTTCACGTATCCATAGAAGAACATTGCAGAAAGTTATGTTATTTCCATTATGAAATAAAAACTCAAATACCTGGCGTCATGTAGTTGCACTTGTATGTAATATTGAAAGTGATGATAGTTTAGGTGTAAGACAAAAGAAAACATTGAATCAATTCCATTTCCTATTGTGCAGAAAAAGCATAACACTTTTTTGTGTACTGCTTACATAAAATGTCATCACATCAAACGTGTCTTTTAAATGAAAAACTTTAACTTTTAGCTTCTGTTTCTACGGAAGTGGTAAAGGAAATTTTGCATTTTCCTTACATTTTATCAAATAATGACACATATTAATGAATTTAAAGACAGTGTACGATCATTTTTCTCTAACCTTATAAACGACTAGATCTTTAGCAAAACAATGAAATAATAATAGAATTAAGTTCGTAAGGAGTTAATATTTCGTTATTAAAAACTGTGAACACTTCTTACTTCTAGCTTTTTATACTTAACACTCACCTGACAACACCACTGGACACATAAAACAAATACAGAGATAGAGGAAGACTCCAAAACTTTTCATATTCATACTCATTGGTCTCCAGTATTGACTATTCAATTCAGCATTTTGTAGTAAACACATTGCACGACACTGATGCTAATAAAAAGCAAGGAAGTAGCGACCATTCTTTACTGGCAAAAAATCATAAGACAAGTACTGATGGGGCTACCAGAAGTCGAGAAGTCTACGCCTCTTTCATCTAGAAGGGAGGAAATAATGTCATTCAAATCCACATAGGTATTCACACGCATCTAACTCTAGCGAAGAGACGATCGACTGGGCTTCTGTGTGCGTGAAAGGATCTTGCAGTGTGTCGATAAAAGCAGGAGGGGGCCTTCTACATGCTGCTATCCTTTGTTCTAGGTGCCGTACGGTGGCGTTTAGAAAACAAAAGTGACGTCACAATGGAAGGGTGTCAAGTATTTGCAGTTGTCCAAATGACATAGCCCTGGTGAAAAGAGAACACAAAACAATTAGCGTCTAGATCATATACTAGTATACTTTGTTTATTTGAAAACAAAACTCTGGTTCTGAGACTGTAATAGCTACGACGATCGATGTTACCGAGTGAGCATAAGACACAACTGACGTCATTTCTAAAAGAAACAAAAACATAAGAGATTTCTCGCTTGTGTCAATTTAATATTTCAATTCAGGAAAGCTCGTTTGAAATGGCTTATGTGAAAGATTGCAAAAAAATTTAATATCGTATACTGACTTTTATCTTTTTGCTACCTATTTTTCCTTCTTTTCAAATTTAACCACTGTTTTGCTATTGTGTTTGTATCAAATCATTCAGTTATTCGATAAAAGAAATATAGGTATTTAGATAGTAAATTGAGGGATGACAGTAAAAAGTAGCCATGTGTCTGCATAAATATTTCTCATAAATGATAGTCTATATCCTGTATTCCATAGCTCGTATAATCCAATTTTATCTTCAAGAAAAGAGACCCAATGTTCATCTACATACTCTTATATTTTTATAATTATCTGGCGGTGGATGAAATCCCATGTAAACAAGATATAGAAAAAATTAATGCAACTTCTAGAAGCTTTGACATCAGAGTTTAGAGGCATATTTTATAATCTAGCTGCTAGCAATGCCTTGCAGTGATTTAATTCACGTAACATGCAACACTGAAGCTTTTGTATACACGAAGATATATATATATATATGCCTACAAATTTTAAAGCCTGTTGACATGTATTATGTACAACATTTCTAGAGTTTATTTACACTTCATAATTTTGTGTGAAGATATGTTATTACAAAGGAACGCCATTTTTTTTCTACAACAAAAATAAAATGAAGTTTCACATAATTTCTACTTGGATGTACATACAAGTTTTGGAATCAAAACCACAGATCCTACACAGAGATTTATAAAATTGATTCGAATTATTTAACAAATCCCAAAACAATTGCCACGATCCTAAAGTTGTGAAATAAAAATCACTTTCACTGTATTTTGGTTTAACCCATTCATGGGACCTATAATTAGAATAATAGATGAACGGATTATTGTTCGGAAAGAGTTTAAAACTACAGAGATTGAAGGATCCTATTTTAAAAAATTCCTCACACGGCGTCTATCCTTACGCATATATCTAGCAATATAGTAAGCCATTGCATTAAATCAATACCTCTTTCATCGCCAAGACAATTACTTTATAGCATGTACTGTTTAATTCCTTTGAATTCAACCACTCCCTTTTCCGCACGAAACTTCTATTAAGCAGAACAGAATTCGAGAGTTTGACTAAATGTTCAAAGTATATTAAAAAAATCAACAACAACACAATTTATATTGTTTGTTTTTACTTAACTTTACACCAGAAGAGCCGTGAACTGTATTCATCATTACAAAATAGAAAACAATAGTATTTGTAGAACATATCAAAAAACGTTTTGAAGGAAATACAATTTCATCTTTGAGAAATATCTAATTCATATATTTTTATCTATTTGGTTGAATTGTCTCACCATTATTTTATCTTTATTATAATGGCTAATCTTCATAATGTCCCAAAATATGAAAATATTCCTTTTTGCCGGTAACGTTGTTGCATTTTACATTTTAAATATATATATTATTTTAAAAAAATAACATAGATATTTTGTTTTTAATTTTTATTCACATCTTACCATGACTGAATCTTACTTTATCTCACTGGCTATTGTATCTTGATACATCCAGACATACGTGTAATTGGTGAGCACTAGCTAAGCACAGCGATAAAATCTGACTGCATCGACTTGAAAAAATCACTCATAATAGTATAAAAATATACATAAGCTAAATTCAATGTCTAATATTTGAAATCAATATCCTATCGTTATTACAAGTTTTTCAAAAGTCTCATTCACATTGTTTCTTGTATGTGTAACTTATCTGACGAGATGTCTTGGTGTAAGATGAGACTAAAAAGAAATAATAGTATCACAAGGCTTAGTATGAATATAATTAATAGTATTTATCTAAAAAAGTATGCATTTCTATAAAAGATTAAAATATACTACAATAAAAACCAGTTCTATTTGGTTGAAATATAATTTTAAACGTTCAACGTTTTATCACAAAAATCCAGAAGTCTGGTTTACTGAAACTAATGATATATAGTAAACATTGCCATGATATCTATTCGTGGTTTTTCATATTACACTATAAAGTACCGAAAGAGATTTTCTTCAGCTTGTGTAAGTGTTTTAATGTCAGTTTAGCAGAGGTAATATTTCACTTATTGGCACTATTGTTTTTTTAGCGCAAGTGGGTTATCCGTGCCCACTTACTGAACTGAGATTAAGTGAAGAAAACATGAAATATAAACAAGACATACAAAGTGAGATGAATTTCTGTGAAAGTTTGCTTACTTATATTTCTCTTGGATATAAGTAGTAACTTTTGAAACATTAATAATCGTTTAAAAATATCTAACATATAGATTTTATGACACCTTATAAATAAGCAATAACTTTTGAGGGAAAGCTTTTTAAGGATAATATTATGTTCTGTCAACATAAAACTTATAATGATTTACAGCTGGAGCATAAATATGTGTTATAGAGCTTTACAAAATGATGAAATAATACATACTGCAAGTTACTGTACGAATAGAAGTGGTGAAGTAGATAATGTCCTAGTATGATATTAAATCAATATGATTTTTAATCAAGAGTGAAGAAAAAAAAACACCATTTTGTTTCTGTCAAGAATATTTTATTTTTTATGTATTATTAACAGTCAACAATAGTTTTGCGTGTAAAATTATGATATATCAATATGTGAAAATAAAATAATCGATATATGGCTCTATTTTGTACAGTATTCAACAAAACGTTTCATAAACAATACTTTAATAAAAATAAATTAAACAAAACAACTGCATTTAATTGGTGTGTTTTTAAGAATTGTTATTTCGAAAAATTTAAAAGTGTTTATTTGTTGTTATTTTTAATGGCTGGTGAATCGAAACGTTGCTTGTAATATATATATATATATTTGCTTTCTCATTCTCAATTGCAACTATTCCATGTGAGAGCTATGGAACAAAAACTGCAGTGTATAAAATTACAATACTTAATGTTATATGGTCATATATGTATGTAATGGCTATGAAAAAAGAGACCCATCCTATAATACATTTTTCTTTTCACTTTTTAAATGTTGTATAACCGACAAATAATAACACTAACATTTAGGTAACAGTAGTATAAAAATACACATGCACATACATATAAGTATATTTGTTCGTTACATAACTTTAGTAAAATTATCAAAATTAATATTAACACTATTTTCAATATAAACCTGGAATTTGTAATTAAATATTCCGAACTCTATGTAAGCAGAAAGATGTAGAAAGTTGCAGAAAACTAATAGCATTTATTGTTTGCCCAGAAATAATTGACTCTTTACCTGACTGTATAGTCCGAATTTCACGATTAAGGTTCTTATATGAAGTTTACTGATTCTTTGAATGTTTGACCCAATAAAGATCACATACAATTCACAATTCAACCTTACAAAACATAAACTGGTATGGTAACATCTAAGGCAGGAATCTATGGCCTCATAGTATTTATTTTTCTTCCAGAAACGTTTTACGTATTAGCATATTATATTTGAACTTTTTCGATTTCACTTTATTTTCCTGAACATGAAATATATGCAAGTTAATTCTTCCTGACCATATAGCATGTTCATTTCTCAAAATTACTTTAAAAAGAGTACATAAGGCATGTGTATATATTTTTAAAAGACTAAGTCAAAAAAGTAGCGAATAGATAAAAATTGTTTGTAGGTACTCTGGTGGAACGTTGATAATGAATCTGTGCAGTAGGAAATAAAAGTTCATCAGTGTAGCTAGTTAACCTATTCATACAGAAGATATACAGACATGATGAAGATACACTAGATCACGAGGCAAGTCATCCATTTTAACAATAAATCTTAAATAACTTATAGACTTATTATAGGGTATAATGCTGATCCTGCTTGTATAGGAGTGGGAAAACCTACGTATAGGAAAGCCTTTATATTAAACCTCTTTATGGTTCCACAGTGCATTACGTGAACATGATTAATATATTTTTTAAATGGTTGAATTTTGAAATCTAAAAATCAAGAGTTATCGCTGTAATTTATACTCTGCACAACAGAAATAATATCCACAAAGCAAGCTTACAAATGTCGTGTGAGTTATGAATATGTATTATAAATCACTGGTGACTGATTGTTTTAAGATGAATAACGGAAAAAAAAATCCAAAACCTGCTTGTGGAATATATGTAGCGAGAAAACCAAATGGTGGTTACAATGATTAGATTCTGCAAGGTATCGAGAACTGTATATTTATTTCATTAATTACATACAAAGGAAATGACTAGACCTATCGAGTCGGTTAACAACCGCCATTAATAAAATGAGAGATAATTTCCGCTGTGAATCTACATTCCCGTGACTCACGACGCATAACAGAGGAAAGCCTAATTCCAACGTCCTATAGACACTAAAAGAACTAGGCTATAGTTAACCACTACCAGCAGGACTTGTACTGTTCTTTCATCTAAGGAAGCTCCAGCGTATGTCACAGTTTTGAATAGATTATATCAAATTAGATTAAGCTCTATACAGTTGTGACGTTGTAAACTTACGGAGACCGTACGTTACCAGCCCTAGCTCGGGCGTAATAAAATGGGCTTGACAAGATAAAGTTGTGTTTCACAGCCCCAGCTTAAGGATACAATAAATTTCCAGGATGGATCTTTTCTAAACCGGTCACTATGATTTCATTGTTTTAAGCTACCCGTTTGCCGATTCTTGTAAAGTGTCAAACTACAGAAGATGCATTATGGTTGCGTGCTTTTAGAAAATTACACTAATGACATGAATTTTATCCACACATCCGTTAGATTTTGCCTTTAATTTTTATTTTTTAATATAT